AAAACGGAAACATGTAGTACAATAAAGGTCGTTTATATTACCTGCTCTACACTATCAGTGTTCAACCAATCTAGCTATTAATAATAAATTAGAACAAATTTATATGAAGCTTATAAACTAAAAATAACAATATTTGTGACATATTTTAGAGCATGTGAGAAATGAAAATGCTGTTTTAAATCATATTGGTGACATATATACCTAGTACCTACAATTTTTAAAGAATTTGTATTATTTGAAATATGATAATTTCTATTAAAAAATATGATTTCCTTAAGTATGTGTTATAAATTTAAGATTTTTTTATCCCTTAAAATGGATGATATATGTGAATATTGGAACATATTTATATTATACTATCAGACAATCAAACTGTTTTAGAATCCTAAAACATATAATATATTTGGATTAGATCCGAATCGTAACTCGGGGTTTGTTCAAAATTCTTGTAAGATTAGATATTTAAAATATAATCTGGAAATTTATATAGCTATATACCAATTTATTCTCTTCTTTTTTTTTACTGAAACTTTACCTTCGTCTTTGCATCAGCTTCTTTTCATGTTTTGTTTGCTTTTTATTCATACTGGACCACATCATTGAAAAAACTCGCTTTATCAACGACATTTTTTGTTCATTAACTTTTAAAGACCGTTAGGCTGCAGTTAGTTCTTCTTAATGCCGTCAGTTTATCAGAGATGATCAGTGAATATAGAATGAATACTTATATTGTTGAAAAAACCCGAAATTATATTAGAAAAACATTGTAACCAAGCCCAAAATTCTTATCGTTTAGTTGGCGAATTATGACGTAGTATCATTTTTTTGCATTACTTATATGCTTGTGTTTTTTTAGTATATAATTTTTAATATTTTTAATTAATTTAATTTTATTGTTTTATGTAATATGTAACAATGCCACTCTGATTTTTTTTTCAATACTTTCAATGTTTTGTCAATAACTCCAAAATTACATATTATTTTTTATCATAATATCATTTTATACATTATAATTTAAACTAAGTTCACGTTGTTCTACGAGTTATATATTTAGAGCTTTATAGAAAAATTTATTTTTTTATTTGAATTTGTTTTTATAAATTAAAAATTTATTCTTAAAAGTAGATATTGTAAAGCGAAATTTTAGTAACGAAATTATTTTGAAATAGCTTGTGAGTACAATAATTATTTTAACATTTTTAATATCTCTATATTTTTTTTTTGTGGTAAGAAGGTGGAATGCTTTATGCATCGTCAAACCGACTGTCGTCGAAATTGTGCCCGATTCCATAACGTTAATATGTAACATACGGTCTAAAACACCCCCTCGGCGCGACTTTTCCCCCCTCGGGAGTCTTTTATGTTGGCATTTCAAGTAATGCGCATATGATTTTTGATCTGCGTCCAGACCTTCACTTTTTCACTGCATTTTCTTGGTGTATGCACTATTAGTTATTCTAGTTATTGGTTCTTCTTTCTAGGTCTAATTTCTTCGTTTTGAGAACTTGAATCACATATGACTCTATCGTTCCCCAGCTCTCTGGGTTCGCTCTCATTTTTTCCACTACATTTTCAGGATTTATTGGTCCAATCTGTGCTATTATCTCTTCTCTAAATGTATGCCACCTATTACAGTTAAAGAAGATGTGCTCTACGTCGTCACAGACCCCGTCACCATAAATGTCGAGTAAATCCATCTTTCCCGTGCCCAGTCAGCATCTGAATGAGATAGTAATTTGTGTCAGGTGATCCTATTTGGTATTAGTCTAGCTTCCTTGGGTGCTATTGTTTCAACTTTGTTGCCACATTTCGATAGTTTGCTCCTAATTATCTCTTGCCATTTCTTGAGTATAGTAATCGGTCATTTTTTTGTTGTATACTCTAAGGGGTTCCTTTGCTTGAAAATTAATTGGATTTACACCGGCTATTACACAAACTACTTCCGCAGAGACAGTGCGCTACGGTGATGTAATTGGTAGAGCCACCTATTATTGTTAATATTAATTTACTATTTTAAATTTTTTTATGTTATTGGGAGTATATATCAAAATATTTAGGGATATATTATATTTTGTTTTAAATATTGAGCTTATATATGCTGTAAGCTTTGGAAGTCTCTAAGCGCATTAGTATATTCTTAAAGAGATTCTACATAAAGAATGGTGATTATTGCTGCACAATGTTGGGTAAATGCTAGTGCTAAACAATGTGTAAACATTGACACTGCGAAAAATTATAAATAAGCATATATATATATATCGGTTTTATATTAGCCATTATATAACTATACAGTTAAATAGAAGCAGATATAATCTCTAAATTATCTCTATTACTATTCACATTATTCTCCACATTACTACAAGCTTTTTAAGTAATTTGTGGAAATGCCCTATTTATTCTCTTACATATATCATATGATATATTTATGATATATTGTATAAATATAATAAATATCCTACGTACTATGAAATATAAATAAAATAAACCCATAATTATTTTTATCTGAAAGCATTCCAGCACGATCTGGGTAAACTACTTTTCTTATACTACGTTTACATTAGGTCTGTTCCACGAGCTACACATAGTAACTTTGAGTAACACTGTGTATACACAAGTGCGTTCCACGAACAAATTTGTGAGTAAATGAGAGCATCTGAGAGAGCGTTACATCCCTGTCGAAATTTGAAAATGTTACACAGACTTTACTCATGCATTTTATATGAAGTAAAATTTGTGTTTATGCGTAAATCAGCTCTTATGGTTTGAATTCAAATTTTTGTATTGTTTGTTTGCGCGGCATGTGTGAATATTAAAAAATTCTGCATTTTTAATTGTAACAACTGTAATAAATAAATATTGAAATGGATAAAAACATAATAAATATTTTATTAAGTGATTTAAGTAACACAACACAACCAGAATATAACGTAGTTAATACACTTCGAGATAGTGACTCTGACGATGATGTAGAATTGGTGTATTCGATATTACATAAAAAAAAAAGAAAACGTGTGTGTATAAAAAATTATATACAAGATGTTGTTTACAAATATGACGACAAGGAATTCAAAACTCATTTCCGCATTTCGCGGAGTCTTTTTAATTCTTTGGCTATAAAATTTCAAAATATTACCGACTTTATTGCACTGCGAGTAAGTGAGCTGAACATTTCTTCAGAAGCTCACGTTGCTGTTTTTTTATGGTTTGCTAGTCACGAAGCATGTTGTTTTAGAGATTTATCAGATCGCTTTAATCTCTCTTTATCATCAGTAAACCGAGTTATAAGAAGGATGATAACTTTCTTTAGCAACATGTGTCCGGATATAATTGCATGGCCTAGCACATCAAAAAAGCTTATGCAATTTTTCAAAAGTTATAGGTAAGGATTTATGTGCATATTAACGCTGCATATATATTAATACATGTTACTTTGCGGGTTGCTTAGATGGCACTCCTATAACTATTGATCCTCCTGGAGATCGTAAGGACGACTACTTACGGAAAAGGAAAGGACAGAAAAGGAAATATTTCATTATGCTTGCAAGCCATCTGTGATGAAAACAGATAATTTATTAGCATATTTATCGGACATCCAGGCTCCTGTCATGACAGTTGGGTCTTACAAAACTCTCCTATTTATATGCGACTACCATCGAAGTGTGGAGGTAAGTTCTTTGGAAAAAGAAATGAGATTTATTAAAACCTCTTACGTTTACAGAATACTATCTACTGGCTGATTCCGCATACCCCTGTACACAACACATCATTACGCCATATAAAGACAACGGGCGTCTTACTCGTCCACAAAAGAATTTCAATAGAAAATTTGGGTCAGGTCGAATACTAATAGAAAATGCATTTGGTATATTAAAACAACGTTTTAGACAGCTGTATAATTTTTTATAATAAATTTATATAACAGCACTCTAACTCACTTTATTAAAACAAAATTTAACTTTAAATAAATTAATTTTAAATAGTATTTAAAAATATTTGGCTTGTTGTTTTGTTTATTTGGTTTTCAAAATGTGTTTCTCTGTTATTTTTCAATTTCTATTTCTACTGTTTTGTTTTTCAAAAAACAGCTGTTTTCACCAGACTTTACACAAAACTGTTCCATGAAAATTTGTGTAAAGAGCATAATCTGGCACTTTATTTGTGTTACGCTCTGAGTTTGTACTTTACTTCTGTTTTACTCATGGTTTACTATGTGTAGCTCGTGGAACAGACCTATTATGAGATTAAAAGTACATTAAACCAAACATCGAGATTAAAGTCCTAATCCAGTTGTTTAATCACAGATTTTCGGTACAAAAGTTATTTTTATTTTTGTCAAGATTAATTTTAAATCTCTTTAGAAATGGCGATTATTTCTCTATGCAACTCTGTAAATGTCTCAATATCGAAGATTTTTTTACGATCTTAGAAATAATTTTAACTAAAATTTGCTAAATTTTTGTTATAAAACAATTTTTTTTTAATTTGTATTAAAAATTTTTTCTTCAAAGTTGTGTTAAAATACTTTATTTATAGAATATTATTAAACACATGAAACAAAACACAAGAGAAACCGTCACAATTAATCTCCAATGTATAATGTAAACGGGGTATATTAGAAATGCAGATTAACTCGTTTAATCTTGTTTTCTTAATTTTACAATGTAAGCATAGTATACTACGTTTACATTGCAGAATTAAGAAAACGAGATTAACAACTATGTACTAAAAAATTATAATATAAATTAATTATATAGTTTTATAAATAGTTTTATAATTATATACAACACTATTATTAAACAAATTTGATAAGAATTTCACTCACTTCGCCATTTTCAAATTTTCAATGTTTGTTTTGAATAGACATTTCTTTTCCAAATCTTTTATTATCGTAAAAAATCTACATTATAAAGACATTTACAGAGTAACACAGAAAAATAATCACCATTTCTAACGAGATTTCAAATTAATCCCGACCAAAACAAAGTTAACTTTTGTATGGAAAATCTGTAATTAAAGAACTAGATTTGTTCTTTATATTTCGCATCATATGTTTACAATATTATTATATAAATTACGATATTATTACCAACTGGTAAAACCAGCAATAACCTATTAAATTTTTTTTCTTTCATGAACCCTGTTTGTTTGGAACTAATTCCGAAGTTCATTTACAAAATTGTATTTGAATTTAACTTTAATTACAAAACTAAATTGTTGAATACAAAGTGAAATTAAAAATGTCTCCCAGAAAGCGAAAAAATGTTAAACAAACCAAAATTACTAATATAAAACGAATTAAGACAAAAAAAACACAAACTAGTCCAAAACCAAAGGAGGATATAAGTCTGCAAGAAAAGTAAGTTAAAGTGAATTAATAATAATAAACAAATGCTAAAATAATTTATTTATTTCTGATTCAGACCCCGTGAAGAATTAAAAACTCGATCAGTCTTTCCAGTCACGATCGACGAGTTCATTGAAAATACAAACATAATCGAAGTAATTAAAGATTATATTAAAGATAAATATTCAACAGCCTTAGAAACATATCTCACGGCACCAGAAATCATGAGCAGGGTAAAAAATACATATAACGTTTTTTACAAAAGACCACAACGACGATGTATGGCACCAATGAAATATGTTCGCATCACTAGTGACTGTGATGAAAATACAAAACAACGTTTGTTTAAAATTCCAGAATATTATAAACATTTGTGTGAAAATAAAGATAATGAACATCAAAGCGTAAAACAAAGTTTAAAGAAACAAGATAGTTCTCCAGATAAAAATATAAATAGGTAAATATTAAGTAGAGAAATTATTGACCATTTAGACAATAAAAAATTTATGTATGTGCATTACAGCGTTAGCGATAAAAAGATATTAGAAGAAAAGATCCTGGGACTAAAGAGGTATTTAAGTTATTTAAATAAATAAATTATTTTATTAAAACGATATTTTTTATAAATATAGCATTATATCAAATTTTGATGCTAATAACAAAGAAACAAATGAAAAAGTGTGCAACCTTCCAGTCAGTTTTGAAACGTTTAAAAGGTTCACATTTCACAATGATGTTATTGATAACATTTGCCAAAGCATAAAGGAGTTGGAGTATGAGTTGCCAATTTCAAATATATCAAAAGAAGAATTATTTGATAATAATAAATTACTTCGGAGTTACTACAAAACATTTTACATGCAAACGGTTATTCGGACAATATTTCCATTGAAAATAAAACCATGTCCAGGACGTTTAAAGGACAAACTTTTGAAATATCCAGAAATTACGTCAGATCATGAAGGTAAATAAAAATATTTTGTCACAAACCTTACTATTAAGTAATATTTATTTTAGAGCCTACAGTAAGTAATAGAGATGTTATAAAATCTAATACGAAGGAACATTTAAATAAGAAAACAAAATTAGGAAGCAGGAAAGAAGATAAAAATATGGAAAAATGTTCATTAGGTGAGTTAGACTTAATTAATTAATTAATTGTATTACTTAGTACTAAAAAATGTGAAATTTTCCAGCGTTAGAAATTAAGGCATCCAAAGATAATGATCTACATCATGGGTATGATGTTAACATTTCAATGTAAATATAATATAATTTATACAAATTATTTAAATATCTTACAGTTATATGGATGAAAAAACTTCAAACGAAAAAATTCAAGTATTACGAAGATTGAAAAGGTTTAATAACGATTTCAACAGAATGAAAATATTTTATTTAAATTAAAAATTTATTTTTTTAGTTTTATTTTACCTAACTTCGATGACAAGAATGCAGAGCTACAAAAGCATAATCCTCCTGTTAGTTTAGAAATATTTAAAAAGTATACCTTGTATAATGAGGTTATTGATCAAATATATCAAGATATGATACACACAGATTGTTCGTTAATAATCCTTAAACCCTCAGAAGAAAAATTTTTGAATCGTGATCGCTTGCTTCAAAGCTATTATAAAGCATTTTATTTTCAACCCAACATTAGAAAGTTATATCGCTTAAGAGTTAAACCATGTCCGGCACATCTAAAGGCAAAACTTTTATCACTTCCCAAAAAAATGTATAATGCTGTTTCAGAAAATGGTAAATTTAATTATATTTTGTAAAGTATTTTGCCATCAAAAAATATTTATTTCAGATTCTACGACAAGTAGTGAAAATAACGAAAATGTTGATCATAACATAATTACATCAGTGGTGGCACCATTTAATAAGAAAACTAAATTAAATCAAAGTAATAAAAAATGTTTTTCACTTGTATATTACTAAGGATGAGCTAAAAAAATTTATATTTTTAAGCATTACAAAATAAAGCTGTCAAAGAGAATACTGAACGAAATTCTAAACTACATGAAAGCAAGTTTCAAACAAAAACAACAAAAACTCCTGAATCAATTTCACCCGCAAAGGTTCTCTTATGGAAACAAGATTATCCTAATGAGACTAAACAAACAAGGTATATTGTAATGTGTTTTATATTTATTTTAAACTATGAATAAACAATAAAACTCAAAATAGTGCAACTTGCATAATGGAACCAATTATTTCTGATGTTATGGAGAATGAAGTCGTTAAGGATTCAGCGGAATATCATTTAGTTCCATGCCCTTCAAATTTACGTGCAAAACTTGGAAACTTAGCGGTAAAAAACAACGCCGTGGTGTTACCAAAAGGGTACATTTCTCTATATATTATTTATATGATACACTTAAAAAAATTAGTAACATTTCAGGCCTCAATTGACAACTAAATACGACGATTCAAAGTTCTCACTGAAATTTCAAGATTTCCTAATGGGTACAAATGTTTTAGATCTTCTGATAAAAACGTACAATACTACTGATGATGATTTAGTGAATATAGCATTCGAATATTACATCAAATTTGTTACTAATCCTGTTAATTCAAATGTGCAACTATTTAAAAATTTGATGATTCATGCAAGTAAAAATTTAGTAAATAAATTTTATACTGTGTATAATCGGAATAAAGAAGACACATTTAAACAAGTAAAGGCTGTAGCAGATATGTAAGTTTTAACTACTTTTTATGTATACAAATATTCCATGAGATTCCATGTTGTTTATATTTATTAAATTTTATTAAAATATTTCAAAAATACTTTTATCTCAAGTATTTTCAAGTGATGTTATCAATTCTGTCTATCTTTGATAATCAATAAATGAAATAAATGTTAATTTTTATTATTACAGAATAATAATTTCTATAATTTCCATTTTCTAAATACGCAAATCTTTTATATTATTTATTTTACATTTACAGACAAAAGCCGAAACCGAGTAAGCCCATTAAAAAGAACAATCGAATGCCTATATCTTTAGCTGAATTCAGAAAAAATACACACTACAAAGAAGTCATTATTCAAATTTTGAAAGAAAGAGCAAAAGGTGATGAAGAAATTTTCTCCAAGCTACAAAAAAATAAATTGGAATGGAAAAAAGCGCTGCGGTTCTATTACACAAATTTCTATTTTAAACCATCGATACGTAATAAATATACTTTACGTTTAAAAGAAATGCCGCAAAGTTTGAAGGAAAGAATCTTAGAGGTTCCAACAATATCAACAACAGTGAAGAAAAGTAAGTATTTAAACTCATCTAATACTAAAAGAAATTTTCTTTTTTTTGCTATTTGAATTGCTTTCACTCTTAGTTTCTTTTCGACATAAAGACGCATCACTCTCAGCAAGAGAATTAATTAACATTAAAAGAAATTTCTTTAAGCTGTTTCTGCTTTTATTATTATTATTAATAATAAAATATACCTATGTAATATATTATATTTATAGGCAATCTTTTAAGTTGCCTATTAGCGATTTTAAGTTTTTATTCCTAAAACTATAATAGTTGTCTTTTATTGTATGTTAGCTTTAGTATTGAAGAAATTCAACTATATCTTTTATAATATTTGTTTCCATATTCTTTTTTTTATACATTTCTAAAAGAAAATACGCCAAATCATAACCAAAACGGAGTGAACGCAGAACTAGTTAAAACTCATCAGCCTTTAAACTTCACGAATCCTATCTTAACCACGGCGGATAAAAGTGAGTTTATATTTATATTTTATACTAAATTTAATATGTTTTTTTATACAACTTTAAATGTGTTTTTTTTTGCTTTTTCATATAAGAAAATTATAAAATTGAAAAAAGCAAATAGTAATGTAAGTTATAATAAATCGAAAGCGTAAAGAATATTATTTTTTTAAATTTTTTTTTCTAATATAAATTCTCTTACACTATAGGTAATATAGAGCAATTACAAGATCTCCAGTGCAATAAAAATACTTTAACAGATATTTCCACAAGCTCAGAGAACAAGCAACAATCTACAATCGGTTAGTTTTATAATAATATATTATATATTCTATACCGATTACATTACAAAATTATTTGTAAATGCAGCTCAAAGTGTCAATAATGATGAAGCATGTAACGTTGAAGTTTCGCTTTCATCAGAGGTTCAACCACCAGACGATCCATTATGTACATCACACAAAGCAAATACATCTAATGTTAATAATACAGGTAAAAAATTTTGGATTATTATTATTAAATTAATATATATTTTCTATACCGATTACATTACAAAATTATTTGTAAATGCAGCTCAAAGTGTCAATAATGATGAAGCATGTAACGTTGATGTTTCGCTTTCATCAGAGGTTCAACCACCAGACGATCCATTATGTACATCACACAAAGCAAATACATCCAATGTTAATAATACAGGTAAAAATTTTTGGATTATTATTATTAAATTAATATATATTTTCTATACCGATTACATTACAAAATTATTTGTAAATGCAGCTCAAAGTGTCAATAATGATGAAGCATGTAACGTTGATGTTTCGCTTTCATCAGAGGTTCAACCACCAGACGATCCATTATGTACATCACACAAAGCAAATACATCCAATGTTAATAATACAGGTAAAAAATTTTGGATTATTATTATTAAATTAACATATTGTGTAATATATAATTTATCCTACAGAAAATATAAAAACCATTAAAGAAGAACCAACCATGTTAAAAAATCTTATTTTTACTTTAAATGATAACGATAACGAAGTGAGCTGTCATTCATTCCAAGAGACTGCGATTGATTTAGTCGAAAATGACTCTGAAGAATTATCTTCTGAGTTAGAAGCTTTTATAAATAATGTAAAAATGTTCAACACTTGAACACTTGTAAGGATGTAAGATAAAATTTGTAATAACGTGACTATTGATGAGTATTAAAAACGTGTTTTTACTACCTCTGAAAATTGATAACATTGTAATGCAGAAACTCAAACGGAACTGGACAGCATAGTAAATGTAAGTTCTAAAATTATTCTTAAAACTTCAGTGTAGGAAATGAGAAAGTCTGTATTATATGTTGTTGTAGTAATAACCCGTGAGGATCTGCTTGTAAAATCTCTATAGGTTGATAATGAACGGTACTTGGTCGTCGAGATTAACGAGTGGCTCGGTGTCATACAACCGGCTGTTCTTGGAACCTCTGTATTAAATAATTAGTTCTACATTTGTATTCGTTTGTTTCTGGGTCATTAGCAAATAATATTCGTAACATAAATAATATGAAACAATAGTGTCATGGAATTTTTAAAGCTCCGTTTGTTCCTATAATCCGTTTAATAAAAAGTGACACTTAAATCATTTTGCTGCTATCTAGCAGTCATGTGATGCTGTGGTCATGTGGTATTTTCTGACATATTAAACTAAATATTTTACAATATGGACGTGTGCGAGTTAGGCTAAGTGGATGCTAAACCAAATGGGACTTTTCTTGGGATTTTTTGCACTGCACACATTTAGCTATTTATCAACACGTATCGACATATCACTATATTATCGGCACAACTTAGAATTTCCCTTATTTAGAACGCAACTTAGCCTAACTCGCACACGACCTATATACTAAAATTATTATTTAACAGAATTTTTATATCAACAAATAGAAGTCCGTTAATAATTTGAATTGCTTCCGCAGTAGAATAATATATTACTTTATACACTCGAGAGTTTTCTTTCTGTTACTGACGCTTAGTTTATGAGACACGATCATACGAATATGCACGGTGTATTTCAATGCAAACATATAAAAGCGCTAGGACTCAATCAGCAGGTTCTAGAAGCCATTGTCTTTTAAAATCTATCAAACACTTTACATAAAAAATTGAAAAAAATAAAATAAGGCATAGAAGAGAAAAAAGTAGTACACATATTTTTTGAATCTTCAGCAAATCCAAAAAATTTAGATTTAAAATTTAAGTAATTAATAAATTTTAATTTTATTGAAAAATAAATTATAAATAAATCAATATTCATTTATTTCTTTTATTTCAGATTTTTGAATTAAAAACTTTTTTAAGGAGGGTCTATACTCATACTTTATTAAAAAGAAGAAAAAAAATCTCTTTGATCTTCAAATTTTGAAATCTAGTATATTTTTATTTATGATAATTTATTCTTTATATGAAATCAATAAAAACATTTAATTTGATAATTATAATTTTTAAATTTTTATAATATAATTGTAAATATCAACTAAATTTGTATAAAGTGCTTATATATTGGTACATTGTTAATGTGATATCTACTGCAATAAAAGTCGTTTATATTCGCTGCTCTATGTTGTTAGTAACCAACAAGTCTGTTCTCATCAAGAATATATTAGTAGAAATTTATAATAATATGAAACTTCTGATTTTGGAATGGGAATATTTGGGGACATCTGTAATGTATTAACTAACAATAAAAGTATTATTAATGTAGTGCATGTACTTACCATGTGAATTTCTTTGATTTTGGATAACATTTTGTAATATGTTTTGGAACAATAGAAAATAATATGTGTAAATCACATATAAACAAAGCATAAAATTTAGTAGCAGTTTAATTTATGCATATGTAATTTATGTATATCGTTTTTATATATTGTATATATAAAATAATATTCTTTGTGGTGTTATTTTCAAAATCCTTACAAAAAATATATACTTTTTGGCCGAAAAAGATAAGTTTATAAGTATCTTCAGTGTATCTATAGTTTCATTATAAAACTTTCTAGTTAATATTAATACATAAATTTAAAAACAAAAATATATCACAATTGTATAAATTTTATTATCTGTAGATTATATCGAATCGATCCGCTTGACCTGGGGGGTCAAAGACGCTAATTATAGCTATCTAAAAGTTTATCTAGAGGCTTGATATAAAACTATTTAATTTATTTATGTTTCTTAATAATAAAACCATTCTTATTTTATGATTACAAGCTCCCTTTGATCAGTTTTAAAATATCGCTATATATCATATCTGTAGATTTGGTTGTCATAATTAAAGTAAATTTCTAAAACTACAATCGAATTGATATAATTAATCTTAAAGATTGCATTTAAACATGCTTTAAAAACTATATATAGTAAATTCAAACAGCAGCAAAAGGTTCCTATATTATATTACACTTATTCAACTACCTTAATTTAAATTCCTTATAATAGGCTTTAAAGAAAGGCTTAGAGTCTTGAATCGTCCTGAAAAAAAACATTCAGTTAGGTAATGTATGATGTTCTATTTACGAAATAAGACGACCTATACTAACTTTTTGACCATATCAAGCCAGGGTCGCCAATGCCTAAACGCCATTGAAGAGACAATATCATATGAAGAGACATGAAGAGACAATATCATAGAGGGTAAAGCTTTTAATGGAGATATTCGAGATATTGGAGATATTCCAAGTTTTCCAGAAATTGCAAAAGTATAATGTCAGAGTTGGCTTATATGGATAAACTTACATTGGAATACCAAAATGCCAATATACTTTGTAATATTGATCGATCTAAACTTCAATTAATTACTGACTTCGAAAGTGTATACATCACTGTTGCAAAATTCTGCTTTGAAAAATAGAATTAAAATAAAGTAGAACATTCAACCATCTTATCCGTTTATTATTCAACTGTCAGAAAACGAGTTCATTATCTAAATCTGGATTTAACACAACTGAATAAAATGAACACTGCCTTTGAGCTTAAAATTTGTCAGGGTACACTTTTAGCCCTGGCTAGTTACAGTCTCAAAAATTAAGAATTAACGAATAGAAAAATAGAAAAATTTTTCAAGACCACTAATAATGGCAATAATTTGGCAATACTCAAAGCAGTTGTATGGTTAGCCAATAATTAAAAAAAAATTTTTTTTGTTGCAATTTCACTACTTTTAAATAAAAACGTCTGTATTGAATATAATAGTTTATATTAAGGCCTTGTGCGAGTTCGAGTAAATTGATGGTAAATTGAGGGGAAATAGTAAATTATATCGGTATAACAGCGAATTAGGTATAAATTAGGTAAATTAGGTGTTACCATTGTGAAAATTTTGTTAAATATTTAATAAATAAATAAATTTGAAAACTTTTAATCAAAAATAATAAATAAGTGCAATAAATAAATAAATAAATATTTACATAAGTGCAGTGCAAAAAATCCCTAGGAAATTTCAATTGACTTTACCTCAATTTGCTTGAACTCGCACACGGCCTTAAATTGTAGTTGTAATTTATAGAACATGTCATAATATATATATATATATATATATATATATTTTCTTACTTTCGTCAAAACGGAAATTAAAAAGCAATTTAATAAAAAATTTTTCAATATTTTTTTATTTTTCAAAAAATCATCTAAATTTGTTAGACATCGCTTATTTTTACATTTATTATTTTATGTATAATTTGAAATATTCAAAAATATTATTTCAAAATTCTTTAAAACTATTAATATAAAAATAAAAATAAATTTATATTAGCTACAAAAATAACCATAGTGAAAACATAGAAATACGATAATTCTATGTTTTTGCGCAATGTGTAAAAATGTCAATGATTTCATAGAGCCCTGTATTTTATACAAAACGTAAATAGAATCAGCTGGCAGAGTTTAGTATCTGCTCAACCACCAATTAATGTAAATATAAACAGACGAGGTGAAAGCAATATAAATATTTGGAAATAGTTAATTAAAATAAATAAATATAAAATTATATTAAGAATATTGAAGGTAAAGAAGTTTTATTAAATTAGCAATTTAAATATAAATAAATCTTATCAATTACAAAAGGATGAGCTCTAGCAGTGATGTGAATAGTCAAAATGTATTGCAGTTTTCACCTCTTCAATCATTTGTGAATCCAACTTTTTGGCATAAATTAGCTGAATTAAAAATTGATTTTGATCGACTATCGGACGCACCAAAATCCATTTATGGCTACTACACAAATCGTAATACCAAGGCGTGTCTTTTAGAGGTCGAATACAGCGCATTTAATAGGTGAGTGTTGGAGTGAAGTGTTGAAGGGGTGGTTTTCTTTGTTCAGAGCAGTTTGTTAACCTCGACTAGACATCATGAAATATATTCATATATATAAATATATATATGTGACATTTATGAATATATTTTTAATATACTTGATTGGTTTGTTGACATTGATAACGTGTCTTTACATTGCAGCGAGTTCAAAGCACCAAAATTTTGTTACCCCGCTGTTGGAACACTTTATAATAAAAATACTATTGAAGATTTTAAAGAATGTGATAAAAGTGAATTGCTACAGAAGGAAGGAAGAAAATTATTAGCTGATTTTAAAAATGGTAAAGTGTTGGATGATCCCAGTTACTTGTCAAGATTTTTTATACTTTCATTTGCGGTACGTTTATTATGTAATTTGTAGAAGAAAATCAAATATTAACTAATTTATTATCATTTTATCTTACAGGATTTAAAGTGCCATAATTACTACTATTGGTTTGCTTTTCCATGTCCTCTTACACCCACTTTAGGTGTTATTGGTGAACCAAGCATATTTAAAAATATTTCCGAAATACAACATTTTACGAGTGTTATAAAATCCATGCCAATAGAAAGTCAAAATTATTTTGTGATTAAATCAAATAAAAGTACAACCGTTCACACACTTAAAGAAGTGATTAGAGAAATTGAATCCAAAGATATAGAAATAGTAGATTATTACTTCTGCTTTGCCAATAACAACGAATTTCAACATCCGTCATGGCATATGCGTACCTATGCCGCATTCATATTTCATCAATGGTAAAGGAAAAACAAATTTTAATTTAATAATCACCATAAATTTCTACTGCAATGTTTATTTATTTTTATTAAAATTTATTGTTAAATTTTATTTAACATATTATTGTTATATAAAGTAATATTTTTATGATAATATGTATTACATTCTCAAGATGACAAAATCATTGCTTGGAAGGGAGTAATATTTTTAGTTACAATACATACTTTTAAACTATATGTATTAGAAAAGGTTATTGGGACGAGAACTTCTAACTCTATCCTATGTAAGAGACTCATTAACGAAAGATATTCTAGTCTTCTATTGAGAAAAACTTGGTGTTTTTTGTTTATTTAGTATATCTGCTCTTTCAAGAGCTATTTTCACTATAAATATTATATTCTATTTTATTATTAATCATTTTTCTCTTTTTATATAATGTATATATTTGACATTCTTTTATTTTTTATTGTAGTCTTCAATTAATTGGGAAAGAAGTCAAGTTCCTTGGTTTACGCTATGATAATCAAATGGAAATTGAAAATAGTTTAATATGGACTGTAGTACAAAAAGAACCAATTGATTTTAGTAATGATGAAACAGTACAATTTGTTGGTTGGGAACCAAATCGCAACAATAAAATGGGTCCCCGTATGGTCTCAATGAAAGATTCTATGGATCCCACCAAGTAATGTTGTTTATTTAATATACACATTTAAGGAGTACTAAATTTGTTAATAAAATATCTATACTCTTAGGTTAGCTGAAA